TAGCTCTGACAGAAAAAGATGAACTCTGAAGATTTTTTAAAGCAGACACCAGAGATAAACTGATGTATTAGTAATCCCTATGGCAAATCTAACAGCGAGAGCCTAAATATGCTAGCATCTTGCCTTTTTTTTTTTTCTTTTTAAGTAACTATATTCGAAATGTAAAGGTTACTGGTGCTCCGGTAGAGGATAAATTTTTTTTTTCCTAACAGCTTACCCTAACATGAGCCATGTGCAAACACTGATTTGCATTGTGAAAAATTTATTTCCTGTGAAGAAATTCTGTTGCCTGGTTGAGTCTTTTAAAGGAGTACTGCCTGAAAGGTAAGACTTAGAAATAAGCTACTTGGTTTTTTTTTTTTTTTTTTTAAAGATTTTATTTATTTATTTAACAGAGAGAGATCACAAGTAGATGGAGAGGCAGGCAGAGAGAGAGAGAGAGAGAGAGAGAAGCAGGCTCCTTGCTGAGCAGAGAGCCCGATGCGGGACTCGATCCCAGGACCCTGAGATCATGACCTGAGCCGAAGGCAGCAGCTCAACCCACTGAGCCACCCAGGCGCCCAATAAGCTACTTAGTTTTAAGTGAATAATCATTTTATTCACTTGGGTGTTTGGTAACTCAATGTCCTCTGAAACTGTGAACAGACAACTCTGATGTGCTTTGTGCTATAGAGAAAAGGCCTGATTCTTGTCCTCCTTTTGTCATTTACCAGATAAAAAGCCCTCTCTGGGGGTGCCTGGGTGGCTCAGTGGGTTAAAGCCTCTGCCTTCGGCTGGGGTCATGAGCCCAGGGTCCTGAGATCGAGCCCCACATCCGGCTCTCTGCTCTGCAGGGAGCCTGCTTCCTCCTCCTCTCTCTCTCTCTGGCTGCCTCTCTGCCTACTTATGATCTCTGTCAAATAAACAAGTAAAATCTTAAAAAAAAAAGTGCAGAAAGTACGTATTTTGACAGTGGCTAGCATTCATGATTTACATGGTGCGGTGTGTGTGCTGAACCTTTTATATTTCGCATCTTATGACATACCCCAATTCATTCATTCATTCTACTGGTACTGAATGCGTATTACTATGTGACAGGCAGCATTCTACGTGCGCGGGGACACTTCAGGGACCAAGACAAATCAAAGTCCCTGTGTTCAAGGAACTTCGACTCTGATGGGGCAGAGAGAAAATAAGTGATATAAACATGTAAACTACACTGCATGTTGGATGGAGGGTAAGTGCTGGAGACAGAAACAAGCAGGAAGAAGGCAGGGGGCGAGAGGGGAGGCCCAGTTTTAAACAGCATGGTCACTGCAAGGCCTTCCCGCAGAGGCAACAACTGGGAGTCAGCCAGGCAGAGGGCGTTCAGGCACAAAGGCCCTTCTGTGGCAAACGCTGCACTGCTCCTAGGATAGAAGGCTGAGAAGGAGCAGAAAGGAGGCCAGTGTAGCTGGGTGCGGGAGGGGAACTGATTGGGGGATACTGGGGCGGCCGCCGGAGAGCCTACTGAGTGGTAAGCATGACTGACTCTGGTCCTTGGGTTGTGCATGGTTGGTGCGTGGAGGGCCCTGAGGCTCCGTGGAGAACACACTGAGGAGGGGGCCAGGCAGGAAGCCCATGTAGCAGCACAGGGGACATGTGGCGGCCGCCCTCCTGGCGGTGGCAGCGGCAGAGCAAGGAGGGCCCGGGGGTCCGGGGATCAGCTTCCGACAAATGCCGGAGGCAGAGGTGGGAGATCCTCCTGCGGGGCCGTGAGAGGTAAGATCTCAGGTGACTCTGGGGCTTCAGATCTGCAGTGGGAAGGACGGAGCTGCCTTTCCCAGACACCGAGAAGACTTGGGGGTGGCGGGGGAGGCTCGGAGCAGCTCCAGCTATGCTCTGGACGCCTGGCAGCCACCCAAGCCCAGCTGTCCTACAGGCAGTGGACGACCGTGACGCTCGGGAGAAACGCCATCATTACAGGTGGTACTTAAAGCCCAAAGATTACCAGAGGCTATCCTGGACGGGGTGGCAAGAACAGGGCAGAGGGTCACCATGGGAGCCCTGGGGCCTCCAACATCAAGAGGCTGTCACGGAGACTCAACAACCACGCAGAAGCCGAGGCCAGTGCGGCGAGGGTGGTCCTGTCCGGCTCTGAGCTGGAGCCACAGCTGTTTCCACGTGAAAGAAGAAGCAGAGCTTCATGCTGGGGGCGGGAAGGTTGGGGGAGGGGCGGGGAGGGGGGCTGTCACTGTCTGCTCTTAGCTGCTTCAAATCTTTCTTAGAAATCTACTTTAAGGTGAATATACATTGAAATGACATTGAGCAAGTCACTTAACCTCTAATTTGCACTTCCTCATCTATAAAGGGTCTATAAAATAATTTCACACCAGAGTGCTGATCTCAGAGTTCCTGTGAAAACTGAGTGAAGTAATACTACAGAAACGTGATCATTTTTTAACTCGAAAGCTAATGAAGATCAGTTGACAATCTTCAAAGTGTATATATACATCAAGTTGAGGAAATAAAGCTTAACAGCTCTTGAGCAAAAAACATTACTTTACAAACACTCTCCTAACAAAATATTATGACAAAAATTTTACTTAATACTTCCATTATGCATATTTTGACGTGAATATAGAGCATATTTTGATGTGAATACAGAATACGTGTTTTTTAAATTTTTTTTAAATTTTTAAGATTTTATTAATTTATTTGACAGAGATCACAAGTAGGCAGAGAGGCAGGCAGAGAGAGGGGGAAGCAGGTTCCCCGCTGAGCAGAGAGCCCGATGTGGGGCTCGATCCCAGGACCCTGAGATCATGACCTGAGCCGAAGGCAGAGGCCCAACCCACAGAGCCACCCAGAGGCCCCCAGAATACGCGGTTTTAAAAAGTATTCATGTGTCAGTAATGTCTCCCAGTTGTGTAGTTGTGGCTGCGTGAACTGATGACTGCTGGGGGTCCCCAGGGGAAAGGAGTTGGCCTGTGTGTGGTATGGTGTGGGCACTGTTCCGGTATTTTATAAGATAGAAAGGCTTTTTTTTCCTTTGACTTACATTTAAATGTAACATCCGTCCTCACTGAGGGAACATATGTACATAGAGAACCAGAAAGAAAGACAGATTTATAGGAGAGAGACAGAGATACTAGGGATGCAGAACATGCACCCTAAAAACTCCCGTCCAGAGAAACATCCCCATTTACCTTCGTTTACCTTACAAGCTTGGCCCTGCTGACACCCACAATTTCTGGGTAACAGTTTCCAGCTACAGTAAATAGATAAATCCACTAGTCATGAGTTATTTGGCAAGCACGTAAGAGGAAGTTCTTTCTGGATGTCAGTAAAGTTGGCAAATTACCTGTCTGTTTCATTATGTCCAAAGCACTTTGTGTTCCTCAGAAGAAGGGTGTCATGTGAGACACTGCCACTGGCTAACCATGTAAAAAGACAAACCAGGATGGGGATGTTTCCACAGTCACAGCTTTTAACAATGTGGACTTGTCTCTCTCCCTACCTGGATCAAAGTGTGCCTCCACATTTCCGAGTTTCTCTTTTCTGGACCTATGTCTAGGTAGGCTTTCTGTCTTTTGTGTGTCCAAGCCCCTTCTCGGTATTGCACTGACTTGGCTGATGGTCCTGGAATCCTGAGTACCAGCCTTCTTTTCCCTAGCTGGGTTTTGGATACTCTCACTTGGGACCTTGCCCTCAGCGGCCGGTCTGCTGTCCAATTTTGCTCTATAAACTCAGACGCACTCTCATACACACATCTGGCATGGAGGGCTGGGTGACTCATTAGTAGACTTTACAAACAAAACGTGACTAAAAATAAATTTAGAACTTTCCAATTCATTCCACCTTATCTAAAATGTGACTGAATTCTGTCCAAAGTGTTAAAGTGAATGGTTACTAAGACAGAACATTTCCGTTTTATTTCATCTTTTCCTAACATTTCCCAACTCAACATCTACAGTGACAAAATAGCAGTGTCTTTCTTGAACACACCCTTTTCTGCTTAAGTTTCAGAGACCTCAACGTCCTGTTTAGCTACATTCAACTATTTATTGAAACAGCCCTTTTACACTCATTTTTTAAAGATTTTTTTATAGTTTTTTTTTTTTTTAAGAAAAACTTTATTTATCTGTCAGAGAGAGAGAGAAGATGAGCGGGATGGCGGGGGAGGTATAGAGGCAGAAGGAGAAGCAGGCTCCCGCTGAGCAGGGAGCCCGATGCGGGACTCAATCCCAGGACCCCGGGATCATGACTTGAGCTGAAGGCAGACGCTTAACCAACTGAACCACCACGATTTTTTATTTTTAAGTAATTTCTGCACCTGACGTGAACTTAAACTCACAACCTTGAGATCAAGAGTCATGTGCTCCGACTGAGCCCTGTTAAACTGAACCCCTGTTAAACACCTCTATGAAAGTACACGGCCCCAAGCTCAAACTCCGGCATTACCAAGCCTTCTTCGTTTCTGATTCCACCTTAAGCATGGAGACTGATAAGCCAAACTCCAGCCTTCAAAATCTTCAGCCACTTCATAAGCAAATGAGACATTTTTAATGCAGTAAAAATAACGCACTAAGCAGGTAGCCTTGGTATGAAACAAACATTTAAAAAACTATTTCACTAAATATATGTTGCAACTTTTCTGTAAATGTAAAATTATTTCCAAACAGCAAATAAAAACATCAGAATATTTTATCTCTACATAATGCGCAGTCTTTACATTTTTAATGTCACTCTACCAACCCAGATCTTGTCATCCCTCAAAAGATTTTGGGCAAGAGAAACATTCTGATGCAACAATTCAAACATGGGTTTTGGTTTGCTTTGTTAGGTTTACTCTGACCGTCGCTGGCGGATGACCACGCGCACCCCCGCTGCCAAGGGAGGTCCGAGCGCAAAGGTGTCAGCGTAGAAACCTAATTCTCATGTTTGGACAGAGACTGCAAACAGAACACCCATCTGATGGGCTTGACAGACCTCCTGCAGTCATAGTGGGAGATGGGGTCCCGCTCGGAGACTGAACTTACTTCAGAACTTGGAAGAGTCCAGGTGTCACGGATGTTGGTCTCACCACCCCAGCTCCACTAATGGTCCCCAGATGAACCTGAGGATAATAGACTGTCCGAAGAGCTAATCTTGAGGACTGCAACCGTGTCTTAATGACTTCTAGTGGACAAGTGAAAATAGCACCAACCGTGCCCCCACACCTGGAAGAGAAGAAATCACAACAGGATCAGGAAAGCCACACTATTCCTTCACCGGGGTGAAGTGTGACGTTTCATTTTTCTCTATTAAGAAAAAATGCACCTGTTTATTTCATAGTTAGAACATACTGGGAGGTAAAAAGAATTTGTTGAAGTCTCAGCAGCTATGGAGAGAACCACTGTCAACATGATGGCGCGCCCTTTAGGGTTTTTCATCTCTGGCTTTTTCACCTCCCCTCCCCCACTCACCTGGATGCTTCGGATGGCTCTCGGTGGCCGCATCTACGCCTACCATACCATCTGTGAGGGCTACACACTAGTACTCTGCGCTGAGGGCTACCATTTTAACCCATGAGTACCCTCAGCTGTTTCCAACTTCGCTGCCATGCTGCAATGAATATTCTTTTTTTTTTTTTGAAAGATTTTTATTTATTTGTTGGGGGGGGCAGAGGGAGAAGCAGGATCCCCACTGAGCAGAGAGCCTGATGTGGGCCTCATCCCAGGACCCTGGGATCATGACCTGAGCCCAAGGCAGCTGCTTAACAACTGAGCCACCCAGGAGCCCCTGCAGTGAATATTCTAGACCATGCATCTTTGCGCCGCCAAAGTTACCCAGATAATGCTACTGTTTTGAGAAATCAACATTTACTACAGCACAGACTTCCATTAAAATATGATTAATTTGGACTTGACTGAAAATAAAGCTAAAGGTCCTTTTATTTATTATGAGCAGAGAGCCCAACACGCAGGCTCCCAGGACCCTGAGATCATGACCCGACCTGAAGGAAGAGGCTTAGCCCACTGAGTCCCACAGGCGCCCCTGGAAAGATAGTTTTGTTAGTTAATTTAGACTATTTACATTCACCCTCTACTTGGCAAATAGCTGATTTGACAACAAGGCCTTTAAAATTCAGTGTTTGGGGGGCCTGGGTGGCTCGGTCATTAAGCATCTGCCTTTGACTCAGGTCGTGATCTCAGGGCCTGGGACTGAGCCCCACATCAGGATCCCTGCTCAGTGGGGAGCCTGCTTCTCCCTCTCCCACTCCCCCTGCTTGTGTTCCCTCTCTCACTCTGTGTCTCTCCGTCAAATAACTAAAAATCTTAAGAAAAAGTAAAATATTTAAAAAAATCATAAAATAAAATTCTGTGTTTGGAGTGCTTAGGTGGCTCAGTCAGTTAAGCTCAGTCAGTTGGCTCAGGTCCTGGGATCAAGCTGAATGGGGCTCCCTGCTCAACGGGGAGTCTGCTTCTCCCCCTCCCTTTGCCTCTCCCTGGCTCATGTACACTCCTGCTTTCTCTCTCAAATCAATAAAATCTCAATCAATCTCTGTATTCTTCTACACCAAGGAAAATTCGTGAGCCTAAACTGAATACTGGTCTGTATTATTGGCTAAACACTGAAATATGTCTAAAGAAAATGGGATACAGGGGCGCCAGGGTGGCTCAGTGGGTTAAGCCTCTGCCTTCGGCTCAGGTCATGGTCTCAGGGTCCTGGGATCAAGCCCCACATCAGGCTCTCCGCTCAGCATGGAGCCTGCTTCCCGCCCCCCCCCGCCCTGCCACCTGCCTCTCTGCCTACTTGAGGTTTCTCTCTCTGCCAAATAAATAAAATCTTAAAAAAAAAAAAAGATAAAAACTAACTCATGTCCATTCACACAAAATTACCCTTACCTATTAGAAAAATAACCATGTGTTTAAAAGGTTTGGTATTTAAAAACAGTGGAAAACTCACACACTACAGAGTAAGATAAAAAAAATCTGAAATTTATTTATGTTCAATAACGTGATTCCACATTGTTGAAAAAGAACAGGACTTCTGGGTAGTCTTTCATAAGAAAGTCAACAAGTTCAAACACGACACAGGTCATCCACCTCCGCTTTGTCCCATGTCAGTTACATTCCTCACTCTGGCCAACCATCAACCAAATGCATGCCACTGATCAAAGGATGACCCATAGGACAGTATGTGTGCCCCACAAAGTAAGCATCCTAGTGATAGCAAGGCGGTGAGCTCTTTGAGGCTGGTAGACCACACTCACAACCGCAACCCTCTTCTATGCTACACCCTGGGCCCATGGCAGGAGCCGGGGTGGTGGTGGTGAAAAGGCCCCGGCTGGCCTTCTAGATTCATGAGAGGAAAAACGAAGGCACTCTCAGGCACCTCTTCTACAAGACAGAGTGATGTTGCCTCAGTGTTGTAAGAAATGATAAATTGGGGGCGCCTGGGTGGCTCAGGGGGTTGAGCCTCTGCTTTTAGCTCGGGTCATGATTTCAGGGTCCTGGAATCAAGCCCTGCATCGGGCTCTCTGCTGGGTGGGGAGTCTGCTTCCCCCCCTCTCTCTGGCTGCCTCTCTGCCTACTTGTGATCTCTCTGTCAAATAAATAAATAAAATCTTAAAAAAAATTAAAAATTAAAAAAAAAAAAAGAAAGAAATGACAAAATGGGGAAAACACTGCCAACTGTAACCAGCAGTAAGAAGTAACTCTTTAGGGCGCCTGGGTGGCTCAGTGGGTTAAAGCCTCTGCCTTCAGCTCAGGTCATGATCTCAGGGTCCTGGGATGGAGTCCCGCATTGGGCTCTCTGCTCAGCAGGGAGCCTGCTTCTCTCTCTCTCTTTCTGCCTGCTTCTGTGTCTACTTGTGATCTCTGTCAAATAAATAAATAAAATCTTTAAAAAAAAAAAAAAAAAAAGTAACTCTTTAGCAGGCGAGCTCCTCCCTACCTACTAGAAACCTTAGATGAGAAACAGGCATTGATTTTCAGTTATTTTCAATCATTTTTTAATTCATTAAAAATAATTTAATTCATTAAAAAATACTTAAAGTTATTAAGCCATGTTGGATACATTGTCACTAAAATATTCTTGATTAGGAGAAGGTCTGATACCAAACTGCAATTTCCAGACAAAATTCTTCCTGAAATTTAAAACATTTCACAGCAGAATTTTTATTTAAAGATTTTATTTATTTGTCACAGAGAGAGAGAGAGAGCGCGCGCACAAGCAGAGGGAGTGGCAGGCAGAGGGAGAAGCGAAACCCCGCCAAGCAAGGAGCCGGATGCAGAACTCAATGCCAGGACTCCCGGATCACCACCCCAGCTAAAGCCAGACACTTAACCGACTGAGCCACCCAGGTGTCCCATAGAAGAATTTTTAGAGTATCTTTCAGCTCAACATCTTTTTCTTTCTTCATGAACCAGCACGTATAAGACAGTCATCAGTCTGGGAGTATGAATAGAAATAGGGACTTCTCGGAATTGGCTTTCCAAGTTTTTCTAAAAATATTTAATATTTTAATATTTAATCATATTAGGTCCAAAACACTTCCGATTACAACAAATTACATTATTTTAGTCAAAGGTTCCTGTCAATCCTCAATTTGATATAAAGACCACCTTCGGTATTAGCTTGGCTCCTAACCATGGTCACTCAGCTCAGATAAACTCCTGTCCACTCTGGGCAATAGTCATTAACGGAGCTTTTTGAGTCTCAATTCAGAAGAAGTCATTAGCTCTGTCTGCCAGTCCTCCCCCATCTCTGCTATTCGGCTGCCCTCTACTGAATTCCCCTCTTCTTGAGGGCGCCTGGGTGGCTCAGTCGTTAAGCATCTGGCTTTGGCTTAGGTCTTGATCTCAGGGCCTGGGACTGAGCCCCACATCAGGATCCCTGCTCAGTGGGGAGCCCGCTTCTCCCTCTCCCACTCCCCCTGCTTGTGCTCCCTCTCTCGCCGTGTGGAGAGCTCACCGTGGACAGCTATCTGGGAACTTCCAGGTCTTCAAATTCAGGCCCGTCTAAAACTTCAATCTCAAATCTCAACCGGAACTTCCCTCCAGCACTGCCAGCCAAACGGCTTGAGGGGATTTGGTCTGCTCTTTTTCTTCCCTTCTTTTAAGGGTTCTCTGGGCATGAGGACACAGAGCAGTGACATGGTCTTACGTAACTGGTTTCTGTCTTGCTGTGGGTCCACCTGGCTGTATGTTACGTTAACAGCCTTGGCAAATGTGATGATTTCAGTGTGGATGGTGTGCAAACCTTCTTGGAGTGGTGTCAATCTCACTGGGAACCCCCATGCTGGTCCCACCAGCAGTCCATCCCCCAATTTCCTTTCAGCCTCACTTGGCTGGAAACCCTGCAGATAGCACTAGGTAGTGCCTTTCCTTCCTCTGGTCCCCATGCTCCTGGACACCAAGCCAATGGGTCCACTGGAGTGTTCTTCCACGTCCGTCAGGAGGCAGCAAAATCGGCACTTGGTGGGAGTCACTCCCATGTCTGCCCTAAGCACACCCCACCAGTTCCTTCTCATCCAGCTGGCATGGGCTAATGCAGTGGCCTCCACCTGCAGGAAGCACGGTTCAGAGAGCAAGCTACCAGTCTTCGATCCTTTCAAGTTCCTTCAATCTACAGCCCAAACCAGTAGGGACTGGGAACAGGATATGGGACCGTGATAGCAAAGCCCTCTCTCCATACTCCACATGCCACAGTGCTGACAAATACAACCCGCCTGCTCTGTATATACAGTCTGGGTGAGGTGGTCAAAGGCAGTCAGGCAGATTCTGGCACCTCTAAGTCTTAGGGTAGGCTCTTGGTTCAGCTGAGGGCCACAGCAGCCAATGCACAGCCAACAGGAAAAGTCCCATCCAACATCTAATTACATGGTGACATTGCTGACATCACGTTGTTGGGAAAGCAAGTCTGACTGGATACCAATATTTCAGACCACTAGTTCCCAAAACGGGGGACACAGTCTTAATGTGCACAATGGAATATTGGCATAGAGGGAAAAAAATTACAGAAAAAAATAAAATTTCAACTTATTTCTAATCTTTACCATTTAATTTCTATTTTGTGTATATGCTTTATAATACATATAAAATTAAAATGGTATATATATGCAGATATGCATAAACACTTTAATCTCAGGACCCTATGATCCAAGTCTGCAGAGCACTAATCCAGACCAGCGGTTCGCAGCTGTGGCAGTTATGCTCCCCACCCCAGTGACATG